TGTACAATTATGGTAAAACTAATAAAATCCCTAATCCAAGTCCAAAGGAATGACACAAATATGGTGGTCATTAAGAATTTAACTCAATTTAGTGGTAAATATTAACAAAAAAATGTTAATGGATTTATGCTAGTTGGTATTTCTATAAGCTTGAACAATATAATACAAACTAGAAATGTGTCCATAGGACACGGGTGCCCCCATGGGGCCACAGTTCTGTCAATCTTATGACTCTAGGTCAAATATTTTTTGAAAACTAAAAATCTTTTACTAAGTAAACTGGGCAAGAACTTTACAAATACTGAATAAATCCACAAGCAAACCCCAAAGTGCATAGGTACACATGCTGACCAACATTCTTGTAAACTTTCAGGCCTACAAGTCAAATACTTTTTGAGCTATGCATGAACAAGTTGAAAATTGCAAATTTATACTACTGTAAGTCAAGGGCAATAACTCTAACAAAACTGAAAAAAATCCACATGCAAAGTCCCAGGTGCATAGCTTCACAGTGATGTGAATCATTATTCCTGTAATTTAGTGATGTTGATCATTATTCCTGTAAAGTTTGTTTATTCTAACTCAAGCACACAAGGAACAAATAACAACATAATGAAACGGGTTTTACTAAGTCAAGGGAAATAACTCTACAAATACTGGATAAATCCACAAGCAAAACCCCAGGTGCAAAACTAAATATGCTGAGCAACCTTCCTGTAAGGTTTAATGACTCTAGGTCAAATCCTTATTGAATTACAAGGACATAAGTTGAAAATTGCAAAATTTTACTAAGTCAAGGGCAATAACTCTAAAAATACTAAATTAATCCACACGAAAATACCCAAGTGCACAACTACACATGCTGATCAACATTCCTGTAAAGTTTCATGACTCTAGGTCAAATACTTTTTGAGTTACATGCGACACAAGTTGAAAATTGCAAAATTTTACTAAGTCAAGGGCAATAACTCTAAAAATACTAAAAATATCCAGATGAAAATACCCAGGTGCACAACTACACATGCTGATAAACATTCCTGTCAAGTTTCATGACTCTAGGTCAAATACTTTTTGAGTAACATGCGACACAAGTTAAAAAATTGCAAAATTTCACTAAGTCAAGGGCAATAACTCTAAAAATACTAAAAATATCCAGATGAAAATACCCAGGTGCACAACTACACATGCTGATCAACATTCCTGTAAAGTTTCATGACTCTAGGTCAAATACTTTTTAAGTTACATGCGACACAAGTTAAACATTGCAAAATTTTACTAAGTCAAGGGCAATAACTCTGAAAATACTAAAAATATCCAGAAGAAAATACCCAGGTGCCCAACTACACATGCTGATCAACATTCCTGTAAAGTTTCATGACTCTAGGTCAAATACTTTTTGAGTTATGTGCAACACAAAAGAGAACGGACGGGCAGACAGAAGGATGGACGGACGGATGGACGGACGGACAAGGGTAAATCTAAATGCCCGCCACTAAAGTGGGGGCACAAAAATATTACACATTTAGTAAAACAAATATATTTTTTCTGTATTTTATATAAGGGGTTAGAAAACACTTGAGCAGGTGTTAAATACATCATACATGTATTGACTTTGATCATTAAAAATACTAAAACATTATTCAAGTGTTTCTGTGAAACTGAAGTTTTCAAACAATTTAAAGTGAACATTTACACTTCATTCAAACTATTTTACCATTCTAATTTCTTTAAGATGATATTTTTCTCTCAAGAGATTTAGGTTTAACAAGAATCTTTATAAGGGAAGCAATTCATCTGGCATTTATAACTGACTTGAAATAAAAACTTGCATGTTGGGATGAGAATAATTTTTCTCAAGCAACTTGAATCTTCAATTTTTTTTACCAATTTTAGTCTTTTAAAACAGCACATATTCAGATGTAAATGCTATTATGTATTGTATTATAATAATGCAAATAAATTTCTCTGAATTCTGATTGGCTTAAACACAATTAAAGAATTTTTAGCTAGTTTCCATCCCCTTAACCCTATATTCATGTAGGGTATTGCAGGGACATTAATGAGACCAGGATTTATCACATAAACCGCTGTGCAGGAGTGTAATAAAGCCATTTAATAACAAGAAACATGGCAATGCCACATAACCAGGTTTTCAATTATCACCATTGTAGATAAATATATGTTGTAGTTGAAATACAAATACAAGCAACAAACAATGTAACTATGTGCCATGTAAATCATGAATAATAAATTTTCTATTTTTAATAATTGTAACCTTGACTCTAGGGAGCCCAAAAGCCATCCCAAGTGAGGTCTTTATAAAAACTTGTTATACACCAAATTTCATAAAATATCTTATTCCAAAAGTAGTTATTGAAACCTATTTTCTATTTTTAGTAACAGTGACCTGATTGGAAACAGATTTCCTATTTTAAGCAACAATGACCTTGACCTTGACTCTACAGGACCCAAAAGCAGCCAGATGAGCTGGCAGCTTGCAACAACCTAGATAGTTTCAGTTTTATAACTAAATAAAGTTTGTTGTGATTAAAAGGATATATTACACTAATAATTAAATTTTATGGAAAAAACAAAGGGCGATAATTAGGTAAAAACTTATCCAATCACAAAACCCAGACAATATGCATCAGGGCACTTGAAGACAAAGCTAGTTTGTGAAAGTTTGGTCAAAATCCATTGAGAAATGTAGGAGTTGCGCACAGAAGAAATTGTTCACTATATAATCTATATAAGGAAAAAACCAAAGGGCCATAATTAGGTCAAATATTATCCAATCACAAAACCCTGTCAATATGCATCAGGGCACTTGGTGACAAAGCTTCTGTGAAAGTTTGGTCAAAATCCGTTGAGAAATGTAGGAGGAGTTGCGCACAGAAGAAATTGTTTACGCCAGCCCGCCGACATACCTCAATCTAATAACCAGTTTTTTCCTTCGGAAAACCTGGTTAAAAATGATATTCCACTAGACGATATTACACTAGTGTAATAACACTTTGATGTGACGTCATTAGTGCTGTAAACATAGCTTTTTTCCGTGCTAATGTAAGCGTTACACTAATACAGTAATAGGCGCGTCAAATAAAAATGACTCTTGTTAACAGTTTACCATTCTTGTTTAATATAATTATGTGATCAATAGAATATTAAATTTGTGTAGATTCAAAACTAAATTTATTGAAATCATTGAATAAAACAATATTATGCTCGCCAGAGTCTCGCATAATATGATTTTATTCAACTCGTTCAATAAATTTAGTATTAAACCTTAGTACACTCATTCAATATCCTCTATTTCCCTTTTAATATTCCTGACTGGACGTTATCCTTGCCCATTTACCAAGTCTTGCCACTAAAATGGAAAATTCCTTGCTTTTTTTAGGACAACAGTACCATCGTTGACGATTCACTCATTTCCTCTAAGACGGGTGGGGCAAGAGGGAGTTGGGCAGCAGAAATGGGGGAGGGGGGATGGTTGCAGTAACAAATAGAGTTGCACAAGAACATACTAAGAATGTCTAATTGTGTCCAAAAGCACCATTTAAAATGTAACATAACGTAAGTTTTACTTATTTTACCATCACTAGTTGCTAACAATATCTTGTGTACAACATCTTGCCAATTTGTTTGTAAGAGCCAGGATCATGCTGTTTCGGAGAATTGAAACAGGATAAACATATTATTTCTATGAGAAAATGTCTGATCGGAGATAATCACAAAATTAATAATGTCCACAATTCAAAAGCCATCTCGTGACAATCTTTTGTATGAAATTGTTAAGGAAGCCGTATGCAATATAAGAGACATTATTTCCTGGAACATTTTATACAGTAATAATCGTATATAAGAATTTGCAGCCACATGAATACTGAGCTACACAATGGATTCTTTTACAATGTTAGTGCACAATGGTTACTTGTTGCTTGTCATGCAATGTTCTGCCATACAAGTCCCTCAATCTAAACTTTCATGCTATAAAATGCAAAGTTTTATAAGCAGTTTATAAACATTACCTTATTAAATTTTGTTGTTGTTGTCGTTTTCATACCTCAAGTTTTACTATATGAATTGTTCAAAATGTTGTTCCTTTAAAAGATTTCAGTATCGAAAGGATAAAATTAAGCAAGTAACAGCAATTAGAATTCATTTTTGTCAGCAAAGTAGTACAGACTGACCCTTAGAAAATTGACAAAACGTTAACATAAAACCCTAGCTTGCATGGTCATATTGTTATTTTACTAATTTAAAGTATATGAAATCAACATTAAATTTTGTTTAAACTGCATAGAAATAACTTCACTAAAATTTAATCAAATAAAGAAATTAATATGGTATTGGGTATTTTGTGTTTGACAAAAACCTCAAAACAGCACAAGTTTTACCCCTTGTGGCTGAGGGGTTGCCTTTAAAGTTTCAGAATTGTTGCCACCGTTTATCCTGGCATGATCATAAGACGCCACTAAATGGGTTGAAATAACTGGAGAGTATGCATCTCAAGTAGCTCAAGCAGGTGAGTTAGTTTTCACCCCTGCTGTTGCTTTGAAGATTTTAACAGCCAATTTAGTTTAACCCAAATCATCTTTCCTGTTTTGGTGCCATAATTGACCTGAACTGTGGTAGTTGTGCCATAAAACCAAACAAACAAACAAACTTAAGCATTTCAACACCAATACATCTACATGTAAACCACAAAGCACCACCTGTTGACTTATATGTCAAGTATAAATATACCCTGGGAAAAAAAGAAAAGTGAAAGGAAATAAAATCATTCTTCATTGTAAACTCTTAAGTGGTATGAAATGTGTTAAAACGAGCACGTCTCTTTTAAAATAAGCAGATCCACATCGATACACATGGGCATTTCTGGCACATATAGCGTAATCATCATGGGAAGTCAAAGAACTAATAGTGCGAACAATTTGATGCTAATTTCCTAGCATATTCCCCTAGATGTTATAGATGTATTAAACAAAATGTCTTACAGTAGAAAATCAATCGGGTTTTCTAGCTCAGAAATGCAAGAAACAAAGTGTATCCAGTCTAAGTTCCACTCTTTATCTTGATGCTTGAATCAATAGCCAATCATAATCTTGTCTTCAAGACACTCTTTGTAAAAGGAATATATCTCTTCTGAAACCAGGAATATGATATCTCTTCTGAAAGCAAGGATACAATATGAAATTCTGACATCTACTTAATCCACCTTGATTTATAGACAATTATCCAGCAAGCTATTAGTTATATAAGGTTGAGAAACTTATGTTTCCATTATATAAAAGATTCCATCTCACTCAAACGTATAGATTATATGTCACTATATAGAATTCAACAAGTACAAAATTGAAACAAGAGCACCGCTAGGCGGAGCATTATATGCCCGAAAGTGTTTTATTTTTGTTAGTAAGGATGAAATAATTTGTAAGACATGGGAATTAAATACAGTATTACCTCCTTCAAAAAGCAACCCTCCTTTATAGCTGAAGAACCTTCATATATATACAGTTGCTGTTTTCAAAGCACCACCATCAAGTTGTAGTTATGCTCCAGAAACCTCAACTTTCAGTGTAAAGATCATTGTAACCCTGACCTTTGACCTTATGACCCCATAATCAATAGGGGTCATGTATTGGACATGGCTGTTCATCCTATAAAATTTTACAGCTGTAGGTTGATTAATACTTAAGTTATTGAGCGGAAACTGTTTTCAGTTTTAAGGTAATAGTGACCTTGACCTTTGACCTTGTGACCCCAAAATCTATAGGAATCTTCTACCCAATATGGACAATCATCCTATGAAGTTTGAATACTGTGGGCCAAATGGAACTTAAGTTATGCTCTGGAAACCATTTTCAGTTTTAAGGTAATAGTGACCTTGACCTTTGACCTTGTGACACCAAAATTAATAGGAGTCTTCTACCCAATATGGAAAATCATCCTATGAAGTTTGAATACTGTGGGCCAAACAGAACTTAAGTAATGCTCCGGAAACCATTTTCAGTTTTAAGGTAATAGTGACCTTGACCTTTGACTTTGTGACCTCAAAATCAATAGGGGTCTTCTTACTAATATGGACAATCATCCTATGAAGTTTGAATACTGTGGGCCAAATGGAACTTGTGTTATGCTCCGGAAACCAAATTGCTAACGGACGGACAGACGGAAGTTCTCACAGGACAGTAATTATGTGGCTACTCTATTGTTCTCTCTATTGTTCTTTTAAGCCACACAAAAGAAAATAGCCACATAAAAGCATTACGAAATGAATGACATAAAAGAGAAAGAAGAGTTACCTATTGTCTCTCTAGCCACATAATTACTGTCCTGTGAATGCGGACGGACGGACGCCAGGGGGTATAACATAATATGCCCGAAATTCTTTTGGGCATATAAAAAGAAAGAACATATTGAACATACAATTATATAGTACAAGTTTAAGCTTAAAGAAACATGACCTCATAAATACTATTTAATGACATCATAAAATACTTGACTAACTGAAATTACATGTACATTAGCATCAGCAAAACATACAGTACTGTTAAGTAAAAGAAAAAGATTATGCCTCGATACAATAAGATAAAATAAACAGCTGAAAATCACATCACCTTAATTCAAAATTGAACATGTATTTTGAAACTCAGTACAATTTCACACAAATTGTATGCAAAATTTAAAATCATTTGCTCACATTTTCCAGAATAATTTTTTTAATTTCACTTACATTCACTTACATCAGACTAAAAATAGCATAAAATATGATTATCAATATTTCTGAGTATTTTTCTTTAAACTACATGTACCTTAAGCATCCTTATAAAGTATTTCAAGGAATCAAAATATAGGAAAAGATTGCATAATTGCCATAAAATGTTATACTGTACAAGAATTATTGAGAATTCTTGAACAATATTCAGTGTAGACATAATTTTCTTTTTGTCATAAATTTGGTTTATTATGGTCATAATAATCTAAAGCCACACAACATTTGTTGGCCATTATCCTTGTCTTAACAAACACCAAGCATTATTTTGTACATGTCCACACTTGAAAGCTTTAAGTATTTATTTAATAAGGAAAACATATAAAACAATACATGTATTAGAATAACCTGAATAACAAAGATTCATAATGCGAAAACAATGGTATCATGTTCTGTAATGCATCTTTCATTCAGATTGCATTAATTAATTATTATTAATTATTTGGCATTCAAATTCTTGGCTTAAAAAACAACCTAAAACCATCAGTTTGTTTTTTCAAGAGTTTTTTTTTTTTTTTGTTGGGTTTTATGTTGCACCAACACAGTATAGATCATATAGCGACTCTCCAGCTTTATTGGTGGATGAAGATCTTAGGTGCCCTTCCTTATTATTTCAGGTACAGGAGTAGAGCCACCCATTTTTCTTAAGCATGAAAGAATCCAAAGTCCCTGTCGGGATTCGAACCCACAGTGGTGAGGGGCAAGTGGTTTGAAGTCAACAACCTTATTCTATCTGCTACAAACACCCCTTATGGATATCTATACAAGATCTAATCATTTTCATTTACAAACACCCCTTATGGATATCTATACAAGATCTAATCATTTTCATTTACATGTAGTGGTAGAACAGCATAAATAGAAAAGATAACTACAGTAAACTCCGCTTGTAACGAACTCATTGGGACATTCGAAATCTGTTCCTTATATCCGGAGTTCCTTGTAAGCATATAGCGAATAAGTTCCTTGTATCAGAAGTTTTTATAGGGAACAGTTTTACATATAACGAACTAATTGTTGTCTCCCTTATATCGATTCAATAAAGAAAAAAAGAATAATTGCGATGATGTTTCTTTTTAATATAATTTTTATGTATGAATATATCTATAAGATAATTATATAATGTGTACCATATATGCAATATTGTTATCTATTAACAATACAGTATCATGCACAGAAATAATCACTTTGCTTTTGCTTTGAAGAAGTCGCTAATTTTAGTTTAGGAATGTTTACAACTATTCAAGTTAAATTCAATTTCCAATAAACTTTTAAAAACTGTTTCTTCAACAGGTGCATTAGACACGAAGTATGACCTAATCTTGTGCAAACAATCAATAGCTTAATTTTTTGACACAACTGGCACAGCATCTAAATAGATCTCGTCTTCGGAAGATTGACTGTCATCATCATTATTTGTTCCTAATATATCCGCTACATTCGGCCAAGTTTTAATCTGTGCCGATGAAAACGAAAGTAGAAAATGCGTGATCTGTTTACGGATAGCCGATATTTTGGAGTTCGTTATAAAAGTGTAATTTTCTGTACTTTTTATGGCATTGGGACTAAAAATGAGTTCCTTATAAGCGACAATTCCTTATAACCGTGTTCGCTGTAACCGTAATTTTTTACATTAAATAAAGAAGGGCAAAATTCGGGCCAAAAAATATTGTTCCTTATAACCGGAAGTTCGCTATAACCGTGTTCGCTATATGTGAAGTTTACTGTATAATGGTATTGGGAATATCAAATTATTAACTCAAAGAAGACTTGAATATAACTGTATTCATATTGTATAAATGTATCATGATACTGTATTGTGATACAACCAAGATGTCCCGACAATACCAGGATACATGTACATTTTCAGTAGTGATACCTAACGCTATTATTCTTGGACTGAACTGGTCACATAGGTAGAATCTGTAAAATTTTTATTCATAAATGTAATCTCTTCAAATATATACAATTGTTTGGATAAAATAACACAACTTACCACAGCAAAGCTATTTGAAATCTCTGTCTGCAATGTCATCAGTTTTATATTTTCCTCTGGGGAACAAATAGTATGTTGGCTTCAAAGCTTATTTTCTCTTCTTGGGAACCAATAGCACAGAGCTATGCCTTCAATGCTGTCTGATTTAAGCTATCCAAAGGAATAACTGGTATTTCATGTAAAAAAATTTCCTTTTTTCTGAGCGGGAAATATGTTTTTTAAATAACAAGTCAGCTTGTACATATGTATTTCTTTTGTTCTATAAATAGACTTTTGCGTCAATTTCAAGTCCTTCCTTTATTTCAAATTTTAGATCATCAAAACCCTATTTGTGTCACTTGCCACTAGTCAACTTGAATATTCAACTGGCAAGTAAAATATATTGTCATATTTAGCGGGAAAATCGCAAAATGGATTATATTTTTTAATCTGATTTCAAGTACAAATATAATGTTAAATGTTTGCAAGTTCTGTAATAATAAATCATAAATTTCTGTACTCTGTAAGGTGTAAACTGTGTCTGCTTGTTCACTAAAAGGTCAAGGTTACATCCACAACAGATAAACAACAGGAATATAGGAGTGCACTGGAGGCTTCCATCAACACAGGTGACTAAATAATAACACTTAACATCAAAACTTGTGGGTAAACACTTTTTCATATGCACACAGCTAAGAATATGTTGTTTTTTTGTGTTTTTTATTTTTTCAACAATTCACAATCGTATTTCAAAATGCACTATCATATGAATTAAATTAAAACTCATCCCCACTTTCACAGTTTAACGATAGACGTAAAAATCTTTCAACGGTAATTCTGAGGTAAAAACAAATCACAATGGCACATATTCATTAAAAACATAAAAATGATATTGCACTTTCAACCATCATATAACACATTCTGTAACAACAATCGAAACATTTGTCATTTTCTTACATTTAACCGTGGGTATTTTTCTGCACATGTACACAATGAAAGACTTTTTATAATCTTCTAAAATGGTTTTTACAAGTTACATATCTTTAACAGCAGGTTTAGGAATGTACTTTTTTTTATGAACCATGTCCACATAATCATTAGCATGCAAATGTTTTTACTTTATGATCCAAAATTCAACTCATCATGCCTTAACGAGGATATAACTTCAAGTTGATTTAGAGAAGATAATAAAGTTTACGATCTAAGAGCATGACAAGAGCTATGCTGTTGGTATTACCAAGCACCATTTTCCATCATTGTCATATGGAATGCCACTCAAATATTGCTATACAATGGTACAGACATATAAAATTCAAATTAACTCAATAACTTAAACAAGATGCTTTTCACAAATTAAGTATAAAATCCTTTTTTATTCAGTTATTAGATTAATGGCACTCACTGGTACTCAACTGCATGATGTTTAGTCCATCTCTCTTTATATAAATAAAAAGTATTACCATCTTTAAATTGCTTATTTCTTATTCAGCAGCAAACAACATGGATGGAATAACCATTTAGGTAAAAACGATGGTTTTAGTGTTTCTCTTCAAATTATGAATCTTTATTGTTTTCATTGGTATCATCACTCAAAATACAGGTTCCATTTCTATTATTAGTAGGACTACTTTCATTTCTTTTTTCAAAATTATTTAATTCATTTTTCTTACCCCGATCTTCCTCAATTTTCAAACTCTCCAAAGTATGGCATTCAATATCACATTTAGTAAATTCACCACTTTTATCAATTTTTATAGTCAGTATTTCTTCATTTTCAGTTTCATTATCAAATTCATCATCTTTTACACTTTCATCCTTCATCAAGACTTTTGATTTATCTTCAGGAATACCATAACTGCCTTTAGAATCTGATTCTTTACTCTGTTTATCTTCTTCAGTTACAGTTTGAGAATTATAACAATTCAATTCTTTCCCATCAAAATCATCTGTTTCCTTTGGCACTTCATCAAACTTTGCCCAGTTCCCTTGCTCAGGTACTGAATCTTTACCAATCAACTTAGACTCATCTTCTTTTCTATTTAGATTTGGCGAATTGGGACTGAACACGTACTTAGGAAGGCTGTGTGGGTCTTGGCAAAATCGTCTTGGGCTTCTTGGTGAACGTGCTGGTGACAATTTAGGTGATAATGTTGGAGGAATTAAAATACGCTTTGGGGACTGGTACTTGTTACCATCTTCTTCAAGAATAATAGCTGATTTTGTATGTGTAAAAAGCAAATCCTCATTAAAACTAAATACCTGATAATCTCCTGATTCACTGCATGTTGATTTGACAGTGCGTCTTGGACTCTTGGTTCGTCCAGCCTCCTCTAATGGTAATTTAATTTTCAATTTTTCAAGACTACCTTTAGCTGGTGATTTCTCTGGTGAACTAATATTAACATATTCTTCTAAAGCTACGATATTTATAGGTGTTGTGCTCCTTGGGCGTTCAATGGGAGTATTGGTAACTTGCAATCGCTGAAGCCGTTTTTCATAAGCTTTTTTCTTAGAACGTTTAGCGGCATCTTCTTTGCTGAGTGGTGGTGGAATAACCGGCCGTTTTACCTTTGGTGAACTGCATGGTGTTGAATCAGAGTCCACAAAGTCTAAGCCAATTGCTGAATTTGAAATAGAAGCTCTAATATGTCTTGCACTAGCACCCTTTGCTGAGGCAAACCCAGTTCTTATATAACCGCTGTCAGAATCAGAACTGTCACTATCACTGTCAAAAGCTTTACTTCTTAGTTTAATAGCTGGAAGAGGTGACTGGTTCCCTGACTTTTCATGATCAGAGATATCTGAAAGGCTATCAATCTTTTCATACTTTACATTACTAGCTTTCTCTTTATGCTTTCTACCCTTTTGTTTAAGTTTTGTTTGAATTTCCTCTGCACTAGCATTGTTCTCACTACTATTGGGGTCCATTAAATCACTTTGTGCTGCTTCTGGTTTTGGAACACAGTTTTCTGATTCACTGTTCAATGTTGATAGGGAGTCATTATCAAACTGTGCAAAGTCTTTAGTTGGTGTTGGCGTTTTCTGTTCCAGATCAACAGAAGAATCAATACCGTTCTTCAATTCCTCAGTACATTTGTTATCTGTTATGTTAAGCTTGTTATCCTCAATTTTATTTGAACTAGCATTTTCAGCCTTTAATGTTTTACCACTTTCAATACTCTTCTGTTCTTTCAGCTCCTCTATTCCTTTTTCAGGCTTATCACATACTGCACTGTTATTATTCTTTATTTCATCTTTAGTGAGAGTGTTCTTGACAGAGTCATCTTCCCAATCATCTAAATCTATTGTATCAAATGTTGCTAATGGTGCTTTAATTTCATAAATTGTTTCAGTGGACCTTTTGGTGTTACTTGAAACATCGGCCAGATACAGGTGTGCCATCATAGTCTGAAATTTAAGAATGACACAATATATAGTTACAGTCATCAAATTTAGCAATAGCCCGGTGGCCCATGGCCAGTGAAAAATAGTTCGGGCCAGTGAAAATTTTAAAAAAATGTAGTTAAATATATAGTAGAATAAATTCAAAACTGGAATTCGGGCTAGTAAATTCAAAATCTTAAATTCATTGACTGTAATTATATCAATTTTAGGTAACACTATTGAAACTCAGGGCTCACGTTGTCGGTCGCCTGTATAATGGTTGCCATTGAGTTTCAAACTCATTATTCAGGTACTTTAAACATTTGAGCAATCAGTGATAACATGCGTCCCCTGATAATTTTTTTTTAGGGTTGATTGGACAAGTTTAAAGAAGGAAAAAACTTATCAGGCAAATCATCTGTGAATAAGTAACAAAATTGCAGTCCCAGTTTTTTTGCTGAAAATCATGAATTTATTATTTGTGTATACATCAAACATCAAACTGGTACATCGCTACCATAAATGGATAATAATATACAAAAAACTGAAACTAAATTTGTCTGCCAGTGGCTTTCATTTACTTGAAAACCAAATATAATATTCATGAAGGTACAATTAAATGACCATAAACATTCATAATAGTAAGATCATCAATTTTTCTGGAAAATACAGTATGAAAGTATATACACATATAAAGAACTACAATGTATTAAAGCTGGAAAGTCGCCATACGACCTATACTGTTGGGTGTGACGTAAAACCCAACAAAAACAAAAATCACTTAATTTGCAAATTAACATAAATGAAAATCAGCTGTTACGTTTTCAATTTTTAACGCATTTTTATATATTCCAGGGCCAAAACACCATTTTTGGGGAAGGGGCCTCAGCCGTTTTCTTGGGAAAATATGCGTGATTTTGGCATACTTTGGGAAAAGGGGTATCAAATTTAACACAAACTTTTAACAAGTTCTTCAAAATAGAAAAGCAAAAAGCACTGGGAAATACTAACAAGAGGGCCATGATGGCCCTGAAATCGCTCACCTGTATATAGGCCCCCGGGGCGGGGCTAATTTTAACCCAGGGGCTTTTATTTGAACAAACTTGGTAGATCCCCATTTGAAGATGTTTCATGATAAATATCTAAGCTCTAGCTCTAAGAAAATTTTTAAGTTTTTACTATACACATATAGTGAAAAACAATGACCCCCCCCCCCTCTGTGCGGGCCAATTTTGTCCCCAGGGCTTTTATTTGAACAAACTTGGTAAACACTCACTAGAAGATAATTCATGCTTAATATCTAAACTCTAGCTCTTTGGGCTTTTTAACAGAACATTTTTTAAGTTTTTACTATATACATAAAAGGAAAATCAATGATCCCGGGGCGGGGCCAATTTTTTAACCCCAGGGCCCTTAATTTAACAAAAATGGTAGACACCCATTAGAAGATGTTTCATGCTAAATATCTTAGCTCTAGCTCTTAAGATTTTTTAAAAGAAGATTTTTTATGTTTTAACTATATACATAAAAGGAAAAACAATGACCCCCTGGGGCGGGGCCAATTTTGACCCCAGGGCTTTTATTTGAACAAACTTGTTAGACATCCACTAGAAGAGGTTTCATGCTTAATAGCTAAGCTCTAGCTCTTTGGGTTTTTTAAAAGAAGATTTTTCAAGTTTTTAATAAATGCATATAGGGTAAATCAATGACCCCCTGGGGCGGGGCCAATTTTGACCCCAGGGCTTTTATTTGAACAAACTTGGTAGACACCCATTAGAGGATGTTTCATGCTAAATATCTTAGCTCTAGCTCTTTGGGTTCTTTAAAAGAAGATTTTTTAAGGTTTTACTATATGCATATAGGGAAAATCAATGACCCCCTGGGGTGGGGCCAATTTTGACCCCAGGGCTTTTATTTGAACAAACTTGGTAGACACTGACTAGAAGATGTTTCATGCCAAATATCTAAGCTCTACCTCTTTGGGTTTTTTAAAGAAGATTTTTTAAGGTTTTACAATATGCATATAGGGTAAATCAATGACCCCCTGGGGCGGGGCCAATTTTGACCCCAGGGCTTTTATTTGAACAAACTTGGTAGACACCCACTAGAGGATGTTTCATGCTAAATATCTTAGCTCTAGCTCTTTGGGTTCTTTAAAAGAAGATTTTTTAAGGTTTTACTATATGCATATAGGGAAAATCAATGACCCCCTGGGGCGGGGCCAATTTTGACCCCAGGGCTTTTATTTGAACAAACTTGGTAGACACTGACTAGAAGATGTTTCATGCCAAATATCTAAGCTCTACCTCTTTGGGTTTTTTAAAAGAAGATATTTTAAGTTTTTTCTTTCGGTTGCCATGAGACCACCAAAGGAACATTCCTGTGAAGTTTGGATGAAATTGGCCTAATGGTTTATGAGGAGATGTCTTTTTAAGTAAAAGTTTACGGACGGACGGACGACGGACGGATGGACGCACGCCGGACGAAAAGCGATCACAAAAGCTCACCCTGTCACTTTGTGACAGGTGAGCTAATAAGGCAGTAAAAGACCTTAATTCAACACCATCATTTAATTTTGTTCTAAATTCTATGGGAAATTTCAAAAGACTGGGGAATTTTGAGGACAAACTGGGGGAAAAAGAGGCTAGTTTGGTTGGGGAAGCAGCCTATATTCGGCCTCTACAAAGAAGAGTTTTTTGGCCCTGTATTCAAATATCATTACTTCACTAAAATAGAAAAAAGTTACTGAGAAATGAAATACTTGAATTTATACTTAATTGTTTGTACAATCCATCATCTTATTTACATACGCTATTTCCTGCGCTTCGATGAAAACAGTGAAAATTTATTGTTTTTCTTTAGCAATTTCAGGCATTTATAAAAGAGAAAAAGAATTTGTTTGCTTTTCAGAATTATATACATGTATGCTACATATATATCTCACACATCAATGTGAGAAATTATCCATATCTTCACTAGGGCTAAGGCGCTCATGAAAATATTTGTAAATTTCTCACTTTTCAATGTAATAATACATGATTGTACATGTAACATAAAATCACCCAAAATATACAAATATTCACTATATAATGTATCAAAAATAGTACTTAGTACTATAAAGTGTTTGATACAGATGGACATCAAAATCATGGGGAACATACAAATGTACATGATTGTATTAATTAATGATATTATCAATCCCAGGATAATGACTTAATGGCCTTAGGCCACACAAAACTGCTGAATTTGTGAAATATATTTGCCCTACTTTGAATTTGGAACAGTCCATTCAAAGTTTAAGGGATTTCACACCAAACGCTTGGGGTGGGAGGTTGTTTGGTGTCATCAGAACAAATATTCAAATGTATGTTGTTGCTTTTTTCGTTGAAATACAAGTGAGCAAAGAAATGGGAAAAGAATCATTTTTTGAGTAGTTTATACAGAATTTATTTTAGTTTGATTGTATTGAAAGCTTGTTGAAACACTCTTAGGTACATTCCCGGAACTAACAAATATTATAAATCAATAAGTGCAAAATGTCTTGCTCAAGGAAACAACAGTTTGCCCCTGACAAGGTTTGAACCCACGCAGCCAGCAATCCTTAGATTACTAATTCAATTTGTTAACCTCTCAGCTATTGCATCAGTTTCTAATTCATTAACATTTTACAGATTTTTTTATTAAATCTCAGCAGTGACTTAGTGAGCATTTATGATCAAAATGGATTGCAAAAATCTAAAAATAAAGTTTTACTTGGTGTGGCCTAATGATAAATTACATGGATATAAATAGCAAATATTTCTTCAGAAAATTAAAATCATGATCACTAGTTCACCACATTATTATCCGGAGGTAAATATTATTTCCTAAAATACTTACTTCACTTACAACACTATAACAATCACTAAGTAAGTTAAGATCTTTAAATGTTATATACCATCCCATCTGAATGATGAACAGCAAATCGATAATGTACTGCAAACTTATTTGTTGTTTTATGTTTTTATTCACGTTCATGATTTAGTTAAATGATTATGCATATAACCAAAGGCATTTGTTTTACACATACATGTTTTGTAGTTATGTATATGAATTGGGCCCGAAAACTCAAATTCTATGGACACTGAAATTTACTTAAAGGGCATGCCAGTCAATATGCTAAAGTCAAAGGGCTTTCGCCTGCCCAGCTATAGACTATATTTGTATACAAGTATTTAAGAGAAACAACATTCAAATGAAAAATAATAAAATATATACAGATTACCAATCAATAAAATTATGAGTGTTATTTGTTGCTTATGAGTGCCACCATTTTTTAATAAAAATTTAAGACACAAAGTCAAACAATTTTCTGTAACCATTTTCTTAATTCTTTTCTGTAACTATTTCCTTAATTTGTGCATGGTATCTTATTTTTAGAAAAATACAGTCACCCAAATGTAAAAATATCCTCCATATGTTTTGTTAATGAAACAATTGTTATGTCAATAAGATTTAACACATAAGCCTTAAAGTGCAGGAGTGTAACAAACCCATTATTACACTATAGTAACTCTTTGACATAGCGTTATTTGCAAACATATAGAAACATAGCATCGAAGTGTGCTGTCTTATGTACATATTTGCGTTACACAATAGGAGTGTAAATGAAAAATTACTCTTTTAGCTGTAAAATATTCTTATTTTTAAAAATTAGATACAATGCATGTGATAAATAGAATATTATATTTGTGTAGATAAAATGTTAAATTAAAATGAATTGAACATGTTGAATAAACAATATCATGCATACCAGATGCTCGTATAATATAATTTTATTTCACTCATTTCATAAATTTAGTAAAAGTACCTGTACACACATCAAATATAATTTATATATGTATAATGAATGGCAATTTCTTGTCCTTCCAGTACAACATATTGACACGCTGTGGGATGTTTCAAAGAATGATTGAATCATAAAATGGAAACAGTGCATGGAAATACCAAAAGATACTTAATAAATGAAGGTTAAAAATTAATTATGAATGTAATAAAGCTGTTTACCCAGCACTTCACTTTCAAGTTCAATTTAATTTGACTTTCTTGTTCATAGGACTTTGCCTACATGTACTTTCATATTTATACAGTAAAAATTTTCTTAACAAAATATTAAATACCCCAGGCCCTAAATATATAAAACTTTGGTTTATAAATATCAGTTTCTTTAGCAACACACATATATTACAATTCAAGTTTATTTACTAATATTATCTTTTCTATACAATTACTGATATTCTGCAAATAAATTTTCCTTGTTGAAATGGATTTCTTAACTTGCAATAAGTACTGGATAAAATTGTCTGTGTCCTCGTGTAGGGTTTGACTGTAATGGAATATAAAAAATCTCATTTCTAAACTTTTTTAGAGGTTTATATTCTGTTTATGGAATGAAAAACATAGATAATGTAATGCATTTTCAAATACTAACAACTGGCAAATAGAATTAACAGTTTATGTAGAATCTATACAGTGACACGCAGCTCTAAAGATTAAACTCCAGATAAATATTAAACTCATATATTACAATTTGGGTGGGATAACAGAATGCTAAAAATAGCGTCTGCAGATAATTTAACGTCGACTAGTCACCAAGTTTAGTTGAACTGTTGAAGTAAACATTACATGAAAATAGAAAGTGAAACTTGACAAGCCTTCCTTTCCATTGATATAAACAAAAGAAACATTAAGAAATGCATACCTCCTATTCTATCCATATTTGAATCAATGAAAATTCCGTTACAGAAACTAATCAACAAGTGTCAAACTGGGATTTTAACAACTCGAGTTGTGAAAAAGACGTCTCCTGTCAAAAACAATCTATCTTATTATGAAAAACAATCCTCTCTCGTGTTAAACATCAAAAGCATTCAATAAATACTGACCTGTTGAGTGTAATGCACTATGCTTTACATTATTGTTACTAAACATAGTACAATAACGGTAGAATTATTGATCCAAAATGACCTCAACTCAGCTTCCTTGCCACCATTTTGTGTTTACGGAAATGACGTAACGGAATTCCCAAAGCCTCGGTTTCACTTGACATTTACGCGGGAAAGTTTTATGCAGCACACATAAAATAGCTCTATGAATGCAGTAGTTTTGTGGTTGTGTACTGATTTGAAATGTTTTTAATTTAGAATAATGAATTTTTAAAACATATAATTACACATTACTTTTATCACGGATCTGTAAATTAATATAAATTCCCCGACATAACTATGTATAAAAGGTCGGGGTCCGGAGCATCCCAGCCTACCTTACAATGCAGTGCACGCCAAGATATAAGTTGTGTTAGTTTATGAAATAATTATTTGCCATCGCAAACCGGATATAAGGTTACTAAACATTTGTTGAAAACTTTCCAGTTGATCATCGTGTGCAAGCAGCGTTCTGAAAATTTCTTGAACATTTTTAGATAGAGCTCTGGATTTAGTTCGAATTATTCAAGCTATCGTTGACTGTATAAACTTAATGATTTTAAAGAGGCTCGTTAAATTTGCATTAAAATATAAAAACAAACTATGCTATTCCATATTCTCTCAATAATGGGGTGGAGAACTTTGTTCACAGCATTTGAAAAAAATTAGCAAATGTCAATATAAATTTCTTATCTGACATACATTGTATGCGATGGAATAAAACCAGCATTGTCTACACTGTCATGGCGCTATTTTAAATATACCTGTGACACCGTGAAGAGAAGAAGTTTTTTATATAACAAATTCTACAATCCGTTAGCTTATGATTGTCCTTCTAAACAGATACTAAAAAATCGCTTCCAATTTACATACAACATGACAACATTTATCAAAATTTGTAAAACAATAAATTCTGTTTTGATATAGCCGCTTCAAAGTCATGTGTCTTATCTGTTATTAAAAGTTAACAGTTAAATAATTAAATCAAACCCTATTTGTTTGGGTTTTTTTCTTTCTTTTTTTTTTCAATTTTGAGTTTGCAGAACCATATATTTACACAGAAAATGTACAATGGATGAACGTTTTTTGTGGGATATAAAAAGGGGTAGAAAACAGAGATTTGTAAAAAAGGGTGTTAATGCCATCTATGCGTGTTTAAACTAAATCCTTAAGAATTTATTTAAAACTATATAAAAGCAGTTTTTTTATTGTTGGGTGAGATAGGGGCTAGTGGATGGAAAGGAGCAAATATCCACCCTTTCAAAACATACGAGGGGAAAATGTTCCCACCTGCAAAACGGGAGGCAAAGCCCGGGGGAGGGCAACTGTCCGGGGGCTAATGTCCTAGAATCGTTCTTTGAAGATAAATAACAAGAGTGGTCACATATTTGAATTATAAGAGTAATTCGGTCGAAGTTACCGAAAGAATTTCCACTTTCATTTTTTTCATTTGAAAGCGATTTTTTTTAGAAATACGTAATACTTACTAGGTAAGTAATACACATACATGTATTTCACAATTCTATCTTCTCCATTCACCATTCGTGCACCTATACAGTTGTGTTCGTTATAAAAAAAAGTTTATTTGTATTAAAGATACTTATTCCTCTTATTGGTTAAAAGAAACCTCGGTTATATAGCTTACAGAAAGCCATGGTGCCGACTATTCGCTAAACTGAGTTGCACTGTAATGCATAACTTCGGCAATATTCATCCTACATGCTACCTGAGAAAGAATGTAAACGGTGAGTTTGTCCTTTACCACCAATCTTATGAATATTCCTCTAGATGTTCCGATCGGTCTTTGTCCGAGGTTTGAATTTTTGAATTAAATGTTGTCTTTTCTAAAATGTTGAATTTGCTTTTTTTTACTTCTAGATAGATATTGGTGGCGCCCTTGGAGAAAGAGAAATTGTGTCGCGGAGCAAAGAAGGAGGGAATCTAAAACATTGGAATATTTAAAATAATGATACAATGTATACGATGATCTTCTCAAACTACAAATATAAATGTATACTTTTATGGGAGAGAAATGTTCCGATTCCATCACAGCAGCCAGTGCAATAGAGGCTTTGTAACACCGCAAAACGTCCGTACCGCAAAACGTACGTATACGGACGTTTTGCGGCGCATATCGTCCACATTTTTCTGACGTACATTTTGCGGCAAAAAGGCATGGTCCTGCCGCATAACGTCCATATTTTAAAGTTTATATAATTTTTGTAAATTTTGACCAGTTATTATCAGGTGTTATTGTGTGTTAAGTTTACCTGAGTATGCGCCTGTCTGTCCGTCCAAATTTAGCTTGTTACCACTCTAGCATCCACATACCCTAAGCAATATGGCCAGTTATTTGCCCTTGAATTACAATATCTGTTATATTTCACATTGTTACCACTCCAACGCTTTCATTTCTTCTTCAATCTTGACGATTTTCAAGAGAATATCTATGACCATAAAATCTAAACAAAGTTAGATTATAGGTTAAATCTAACAAAAATAAACAAAAACAAAAACGCGCTATATTTCACCTTGTAAGTGCTTTCGTTTCTTCTCCATTCTTAATTTTTTTATACGGAATATGTATAACAATAAAGTCTCGATCAAGTTCATTTATGAGCTAAGAGGATTCCCATCCCCGCTCCCCGCGACAAAAGCTCTCTTGCTCAATAATGACTAGGCGACTTAAAGGCCCTCTCCATGATAATATAGCTCTCTCGCTCAAATATGACTACGCTGTCAAAAGTCCCCATCTATCCCCCGTAAAAATGAACGGTAGAACCAAACCTCCATAGTCAACAAGAACACAAAAAATCATCCCCACTTCTTGATGCAAATATATGAAAAGCAATTGTCAAAAGCAAAGCTTAATTTTTAAATTTTTTGTCATTCACTCAGTCCAATCCCCGGTTCGTCCGTCCGTATAGCTGTCCTTTTCTGTATGTCTATAAGATTTCATTTATTTCAATATCATCGTTTTTATATCTCTGCTGCTTCTGCTGCTTCTGCTTGGTTCCATTCCATAAAAAAATCTATTCGAAAAACATCCTCAGCTTAAGCATATTTCTCTTTTTTTAAAAAAAAAAAGTCAGAATTATATAGGATCACAAAAAATATTGTACTTTAATGTTTATTTCGTAATATCTTTACCTGAAACAATATGAAAGTGACAGAACCAATAAAAGTAACGTTTATAATGAATATATTTTAATACAGAAAAAATATGGACGATATGCGACGCAAATTCACACTCCCGCCGCAAAAACGTACCAAGTACGATATGCACCGCAAAACGTCCACATGTGTACGATATGCGACGCAAAACGTTCACACGCGTACGTTTTGCGGTACGGACGTTTTTGCGGTGTTACAAGGCTTATTTTAACGGCAATGATAAGTCTTGTGCAAAAAAACAGGCATCAAATTCCGCCGGCAGGCTTTTCCAAAAATAGGGATTTTCTCACCTAAAAAGATATAACACTGCAAAAATTTTCCCAAAAAAAAGCACTTTCCGAAGCCCACAAGGACATAAAACCCCAGAAACACAAGGGGTTTAAACCCAAAAAAAAACTTTTCCCTAAGTGGGTCGCCATGCAATGCATGCCCTTACGGTTTGGGAAGGGGGGAAAAATGTTTTTAAAACGTTCAAAATTGAAGGGCTTTTTGCCTTTTTCCCAACCGTAAAATTTCCCCTATTTTTAAAATTTAAATCCATGTTTAATAATAACCTTTATAAAAATATTATACTGTATTTTGTTTCCCGGTTAATAATTTTAAAAAAAACCTTAAGTTTTAAAAAGTATAAAACTTTGAAACCCATAAAAACAAATTAAAAAAATATTTTTTCTGAGCCTGTTTTAAAAAAAAGAAAAAAATTTTGTAAAAAGGAAAACATTTACATTTTTGTACTTGTTTTCACAGACACTTGGGGTTTGGAGCTCAAAACGCCTTTAAAATCCAAATAAAATGCATATTTGTCAATCCCAGGACATGTACTGATCATATATATCAAAAAATCTTAATATATGCCGTTTTGAAAAAAAAATCATATTTCAACAACTATAATAATTGTGTATTATTATAGTTGTTGAAATATGATTTTTTTTTCAAAACGGCATATATTAAGATTTTTTGATATATATGATCAGTACATGTCCTGGGATTGACAAATATGCATTTTATTTGGATTTTAAAGGCGTTTTGAGCTCCAAACCCCAAGTGTCTGTGCTTGTTTTGGTTAAGTTTAAAATTAATTTTGAACCCAAAAAAGTTGATGAAACTTGCCCCCCAAACCTTTTAAGCTTTTAAAAAAATTTTTAAACAATTAAAGGGAAAAAATAAACTTTTTAATTAGGCCGGTGTAAACAGGTTTGCTTAAAAACCCAAACTTTTTTAAAAGTTTTTTTTGGGGGCCTTTATAAAAAATTTTTAATTTAAAAGAAAATCTTTATTTTACATATTTTTTAAACCCGGGGTTTTTTTGGGAAAAAAAAAATTATTTTAAAAAATTTTTTAAAATAAAAAAACAAGGGGGCCTTTTGTGGCCCTTTTTCCTAATTTCCCTTTAACAAAAATTCTTTAAAAAAAGAAAAAAAAAGCCAATTTTAAATCAAAAGAAAAAAATAAAAAAGAAAAAAACCCCAAAAAGGAATTTTTTTTGGGAACCCAAAACAGATTTGCACCTAAATACTTAACAAAAAGATGTGTACGTTTATAGCAGTACCATTACATGTGACCTGGAGGCTAGGGCCAGGTTTAAGTTGAAACTTAAAACCAAAAGAGAATAGACTCTGTCTTGCCAAGATGCAAAGGCAATTTATAGTCAATTAAGCAATCTTATAAAGACTCATGTTATAAGAAAGAATTTCTTCAGATTTAATTTATGAGACACAAGGATTCCTGAGTCATCAGCATATAATCACTGGCACGAGTATCGGACCTGGGAAAAAAAATATGACCAGATGACCAGATTGATAAAAAAAAACTGTGTTTATAAAAACCAAAACAGAAAAAATGTAAATAATGATTCCCCTTTAAAAATATACTTTCAACTTGAAGTATATTTTTAAAGGGGGTCATTATTTACATTT